ACACACACACACACACACACACACACACACACACACACACACACACATACATACTTCCGGACATTTTTTACTAATACAATTTTTTGACATTTTAGAACATTCTAAACCTATTTCCATCAAAATCTCGAAAAATTTTTTTTTCTATCACAAAGCTTCCTCTATGAGGAAGCAAAAATGGAGCAGATGTTACTCAAGTTATTAATTAATAAAGGTGATACACCATTACACACTGCTACTTCTAAAGGTTACAAAGAAATTGTTGAAGCTTTATTATAACATGTAAGTCATGATAAATTAAACAATTTTATCAATGCTGAAATCGCTGCTAGCGGTGCTACACCACTCCATGTTGCAGCCAAGAATGATTTTTTGGATGTCACCAAGTCTTTATTGAAGCAAGGTGCAATTTATAATATTGAAAATAATGACAGTAAAACACTTCTTGATCTTTCTAAGGACCAAAATGTTAATGATCCTTACTGAAACTATAATAGTTAAAGAACTGTTTAAAAATGCAAAAAATGGTAATCTTGAAATAATCAGCAAATTAAAAGCGATAAAACTTGATGAGTTTGTAGTTGTAACAAATGTTCGTAATAATCAAGGAAATACGTTATTGCAAGTTGCTATAGTTAATAGACGCAAGTAAAATAAATATTAACAATAGTTATCGATACAGAGAGAGGAGTTAAAAGCTTAAAACTTTAATTAATACTGTTAAATTATTTATATGTAACCTAAGTTAATTATTTTAATAAAATATTATTTTAATGAAATTAAGCATCGGTAGCTTGTTATCAAAAATAGAGTTAGACGCGCGAAATATCTCCGTTTTATCGTCATGTAGTTTATTCTGTTTTCCTTTAATTGTTTTGACTATTATGAGAAATGCTATATATCACTGCAGTTTATACCTTAGTTGCCTTAAGCCCTAAGTTATGTAAGAATTCTATTGTATAAGAACTAGTAAAGGTTAAAATACGTTTAAAAAAATAAAATTTTTATGGTAATATTTTATGGTAATATTTTATGGTAATATTTTTCCTATTAATACTTATAAAACCTATTAATTCTTTATTTGCTATTAGATTAAATTCTGTTTAGTACAACCACTTTTTTACTTGTTATTTAGAATTTAAAAAAAAATAAAAGTATTAAATACTTTTTGTGGTATTCTGTTTTTCTCTCTTTGAAAGTATTGACCTTTTTTTTACCATATTTAGTTTCCAGTCCACTTATTCGTTTAATGGTTTTTTTTTAATTGCATTTTGTTGCATTTTTTAAATTGAGCATTATAATCAAAGTTTTGCTTTCAGTTTTGTTGCAAAGTGCAAGCAGTCTTCTATTATTTTGAGATGTAATAAAAGATAATGCATATCTTTCAGCTCCAATGTGTGCAGTCCTAGGCCTATGTGATGGATATAATCAACTTGCAATTGTGGTGCGTCATAATTGATAACATGTAAAATGTAGGAAATATCAAAACCACGAGTTGCAACATCTGCAGCTACGATGAAAAGAATTGAAGATTATTTTCGCCATAGAGAAAGTGCGAGTATTGTAGGATACTCGATCTAAGCATTTTTTAAGATAATTTGACTATTAAAAGTTAATTAATAAAAATAATTAAACTCAGTTTTCACTGAGTTGTAGTGTTAAATGTTTATGATAACTAAGAAATACCTAACAAATTTATTCTTTCGCGTTTGTGAAAAAGCTTTAAATTTCTTCAAAAACACAAATGAAAAAAGAAAAAAAATCCTAGGGTCAGATAATCCTGGCACTTTAGATATTCAGACATAGGCCTAGTTTACACCGATCACTTGATACGCGTATTAAATAGTAAATAACTAGTAAATAAGTCTGATTATTGGCTGATCAGTTTAAATATACTATTTGATACGCGTATCAAGAGATCGGTGTAAACTAGGCCATATATAGCTACAGTATTATGTGCACAAGGGGCTTACCAAGAAGCTTTAAATACATTTGAAGAAATTTTCCAGAAACAGAAAGAAATACTAGGTTTAAATGACAAGAATACTTTAAGTACAAGAAGTACAAGTGCTGCATGACCAAGGAAGGAATGAAGAAGCTTTTAAGATTTGTCAAAAAGTTTATCTAAAGCAAGAAGAAATATTAGGACCAAATCATTTAGATACTTTAGAAACTTACTCTTACGTGGCAATCGTATTAGTCACACAAGGCAAACACGAAGAAGCATTAAATATCTGTAGAACAATTTTTAAAAAAAGAAAAAATATATTAAGTGCAGATGACCCAACAGTTTTGTGTATTCAAAATAATATAGCGGTGATACTGGCTGAGCAGGGTAAGCTTGAAGAGGCATTGAAAATTTATAAAGATGTTTACGAGAGGAAGGAACCAGTTTTAGGTATTAATCACTGTAGAACTTTGACAGCGTTGCATGACATTGGTCTAATATTCTACAAGCAAAACAATTATTATAAAGCCCTGAAAGCTTTTCAAGAGGTTTCAGATGAAAGGAAAGTTTTGGGAGAAAATCACCGTGAAACCTTGAATACTCAATACTACATTGCAAATGTACTTTTTTCCAGGGTAAATGGATTAGTGCACTTATTGTCAGAGCCTATGGAGGATGTTTTGATCAAATTAACACTGCTTTTGGACCAAGTCATCCCATTGTTTTGAATATTTTAAACAATATAAAATATATTAAGTATACACTTAAGCTTGTTGCAGACTGCCAACCGCGACATATTCTACGGTATCTGCAGAAGGACGTTAACATTGCTGTTAATAATGGTGATATACGAAATAGACACAAGAATGTTGCGAATAAATTATTAGAAATGCTAAAAACGCCAGATTAATATTAACAAGATATCCATGCAGAAAGAGATGTTAAAATCTTAAAACTTTAATTAATGCTATTGAATTATTTATATATGTACACCCTCAGAAAAGATTTCTACATACAATGCTATTACTCTTGAATCTATCATAAAATAGGATCAAAATAGGGCCAATCATATTTAGTATTGTGTATGAGAACGCGCCTGATATGGCTGCCACCTGCAACCCAGAACTTCTCGCGAGCGCTCACGGAGTACAATATACGCGAGTTTGTTTACGTCAATAATGTTACCTGTCGCCGCCGGATGGCCGCATTTCGCGTTAGAAGAATTATTGTTTAACGAAATAAGAAGCCTGGCCCGTCCGAAAGAAGGCGGAATCCATTCGCACTATTCTGTGGCTCAACGCTCCCAGTGTCAAGACGCATGAACAAGCTACGCAGAAGGAACTCTCATTCTCCTCCTCCGTCGGCTCGCCCGACGTCGAGGATTTTTGACGTGAAAACGCGTGACGGCAGTCGCCTCCGATCGGTGGTGTACTGCGTCCCCTCCACAGGGAAGCCAAAAGCAGCACCCGCTTCTACCAGCCGCCACAGCCGGAGCCGGAGAAGAGGCCGCCGTAGAAAACCGGCACTCATTAGGACCGAAGCACGAGGAACAAAGTGGAGGCTCGAGAAGATCTCGATCCCGGATCGCCGCCGACGCCTGACTCGCCCAGAGGCAGGACTTGTGCCTCCTGCGGATCCGCGCCTCAGCCGGCCCATCTCGCCCTCGAGAGCCGCACAGCGAGTATCGGTGGCCACCCAAACGTCGTGGCCCCCCCGATCGCGACGTACACTGGGTACGCAGACCCTCTTCCAACCGGAGGCATCACCAGAGCCTCGAGAGCTTGCCCTAGATCGGCCTCCTCCCACTCCGGGAGCTTCCCTTAAGCTCGATCGCAACAACAACGAGAGCCCGCCGGGACGACGTCCGAAGAAAAAGGCAGCACGCCAACGGCTCACGCTTTAAGTCCCCTCCCCCCCGTGTCATAACTTGATTTTTTGAGAGAGGCTCTCAGCCTCAGGCGCCAGTCGGCGCCGTTAACTAAACCAAAGAGAATTATATGTACTTAGATTGGAGAAAATATATTGCCTTGTTTTACCGTCCATTCACTCTACTTGATTTGCGCTCCCTTCCCCCACTCCCTGCGACTCCGGAACATTTCTGGTCCTTCGAGCCGGATCCGCTCTGGCGTGTTTGTCTGTCGGGAAGAGCTTCAGCAGGCGTTCCAAATCGCTTGCCAGGAATCCACGTGAAACGCGTGTAAAAATGAGTATGAACCACGAAGCGCTACTCCGGAGCCAGCACGATCTGCAAGGTCGTATTGCGCGAGCCGGGGACAACCTAAAGAAGGCCGGAACGGCAAAACTGACACTTGGGATTGTCGAATCTCGCATGCTGACTCTTGATGGCCACTGGAAGAAATTCGAGAGCAACCATGAATTGCTAGGAAGCATTCACTGGAAGGCAATGAGCAAGCACGAGTATTTTCGGACCGATCTATACGGCGCGGTGGAGGAGACCTATTTAGTGCAGCGCGGCTCCTTCAAGGATCTCCTCACCGGCATGCGGGCTCGGGCGGCGGAGGACGCCCCCGCGACGCCCACGCACGCCAGCTTCAGCGAACATCCGAAAAGATCACTGCCTCGCATCGAGCTGCCAACCTTCTCCGGAGCGTATGAGCAATGGCCCTCCTTCCGCGATCTTTTCCGATCGATGATCGAGAAGGATGCAACCTTGTCAAAGGTAGAAAAGCTCCATTACCTAAGAACAAGCCTCAAGGGCGAGACAGACCAATTAGTGAGAAACCTGCCGACAACGGAAGATAACTTTCAACGCGCCTGGACGATTCTCAACGACCACTACGAGAACACTCGACAACTTGTACGGTCCTGTTTCTTGACATTTACCACGCAGCCTCACATGAAAAACGAGTCCGCAAGCGACTTGAGGCGCATTTATCACAGCGTACTGCACACGGTCGGCTCCCTGGAAGCGCTGGGGCGCCCAATCTCAAGCAACAGCGATTTATTCGTGTATCTCGTCGTGGAGATGCTGGACGTGCGCTCCCGCCGGGAGTGGGAGACGGCGATCGCGGGGACCTCGGTGCCTCCGTCGATCTGCAAGTTAAAGGAATTCCTTGAGCGACGGGTGCGCACTCTCGAAGCGCTCCAGCAACCACCAAAGCAAGACGCCGATGGCGCGTCCTCCAGCAAAAGCGGCGGCACCGCGAGGGCATCCGCGAGATCACTTGTGACGCAGAGACCAAAAGAAAGGCCGCTGCATCCTATGTCAAAGGAGCCACTACATCGCCTCCTGCGCGGAATTTCAAGGAAAAACCCCGGAGGAAAGAAGGGAGGTCATTAAGTCGAATTAGTTATGCTACAACTGTCTGGGGAAGCATCAAGTCAGCGCCTGCCCCTCCAAAAAATCGTGTACTGCCTGCGGGAAAAGGCACCACACCACGATTCACGACTCAAGCACCGGCGTGGCGGACACTGCAAGAGCCACTGCCTCCGCCACGTCGCTGCACGTGCAGCACAGCAGAAAGGAGAAACCGACGGTGCTTCTCGCCACCGCTCGGGTGGACGTCACCGACAACCAGGGCGATCGGCACACCACTCGAGCTCTCATTGATTCAGGCTCCGAGGTGTCCATCGTGGCCGAATCTCTGGCTCAACGGCTCCGCTTCGCTCGCACCGCCGCCACCACAAGCATTTTCGGGGTGGGCGGACACAAATCCGCAGTAGCCAGAGGCCGAGACACGCTAAAAATATTCTCAAGGGTCAATGAGTCTTCGCTGCAAATCACCGCCCTCGTCCTCCCGAGGATCTCAGCCGGGGGCCCTTATATCTCAAAGACGCGCTCTTCGTGGCCACACATTCAGGATCTACCGCTCGCTGACCCTGAATTTCAGAAGACAGATCGAGTGGAGATCCTCCTGGGAGCAGACGTCTTTGCAACGATCATCGAAGAGGGACTTCGCAAACATGGCACTCGCACGCCCATTGCCCAGCAGACAACGCTGGGCTGGATTCTCTCCGGAACGTGCGGGACTCCGGAGGCAGCCGCCGCGGTGATGTCACTGCAATGCCGAGCGGACGAGGAGCTCGCCGCTTTGGTACAAAGAATCTGGGAGCAGGAAGAACCTTCAGGCAACGCCACTCCTCTCACGGAAGCGGAACGCCGATGCGAGGAACACTTTGTCAAGACTCACACCAGACTGCCGGACGGCCGATTCATGGTACGGCTGCCAACCACAGATAACATGCCAGCGCTGGGCGAGTCACGAGGAATCGCCGTGCGCGTCCAAGGGAGCATGGAACGGCGGTTCAGGACAGATGCGAACTTGAAGCAGGCGTACTGCCTTCATGGCGGAATACGAAGAACTGGGGCACATGTCGCCGGCGCCTCCGGCACCCACGGGAAAGGAAAAACTGTGCTACCTGCCTCACCACGGCATGTTCAAGCAACACGGAGACACTGGAAAAATAAGAGTCGTATTGAACGGCTCGGCTCGCCTACCGTCGGGAGAATCGCTAAATGCGCATCTCTTGCCCGGGCCTAACCTGCTTCCGGCCCTGCCAGACGTGCTCACGTGATGGCAAATGCACAAATTTGTCATGGTGACAGACATGGTAAAGATGTACCGGCAGATCCTGGTGCACTCCGACGATCGAGACCTACAACGGATCGTGTGGCGGCCGGACGAGACCGCCGCACTCAGAGACTACCTACTCAACACCGTCACCTACGGCGAGGGCTGTGCGCCCTTTCTGGCCATCCGGTTACGACTGCAGCTAGCAAGGAACGAAAGGGTGCGCTTCCCCCGAGCAGCCGCCGTCCTGGAAGACGACACTTACGTCGACGACGCCTTTTCCGGAGCAGAGACCTTGGAAGAGGCCCTCGAATTACAAACCGAGCTAATCGAGCTATGCATGGCGGGCAGCTTCCCACTAAGCAAGTGGTCGGCCAACTCAGACGCCCTCCTGGCTACGATTCCGGAAGAGCACCGCCAGCCACGAAGAGCCCTCGAGTAAGGGACTGACGAAGGTCACTCAATACTAGGTCTTCAGTGGCAACCAGAGAAGGACACCTTCGCCTTTCAAGTTCACCCCGCCACTTCTACACAAGTCACGAAACGGTCGGTGCTGTCTCATACTGCACGACTGTTTGACCCTCTCGGATGGCTCGCCCCTGTAATCATCGGCGCGAAGATTTTGATCCAGAGCACCTGGCTGCAAGGCCTAGAGTGGGACCAACCGCTCGCAACGAGAGACGAGCAGGCATGGTTCCGCATCCAGGCAAGCCTTAACGTCTTGGAGCGCATCAGAATACCACGATGGGTGAGCACGGGGTCAGAGGAAAGCAAGGTAGAGATTCACGGTTTTGCGGACGCATCAAAGCGGGCCTACGCTGCCATCATATACATTAAAACGATGGATGGACCAGAGGATATCAAGGTATCCCTGCTTATGGCAAAATCTAAGGTGGCTCCTATTCGACTTATGACGCTGCCACGACTAGAACTGAGCGCAGCTGCACTGCTGTCCAAACTTGCAAGGCACGCTCGATCAGTTACAGGCCTGACCACTGCCAGTGTCACCTTGTGGTCCGACTCCGAGACCACGCTGGCATGGATACGCGGCCACCCCTCACGATGGAAAACATATGTAGCCAACCGCGTGGCGTTCATCCAGGAAACACTTCCCGACGCCAAGTGGCAGCACCTACCCGGAGCAGAAAACCCGGCCGACTGCGCCTCACGAGGAATCACTCCCGAGGAGCTGCTGACTCATGACCTGTGGTGGCAAGGGCCTCCATGGCTGAAGAGCGACCTGCCGGCGCCAGCCGCAAGGAGAGAGGAAGAGCCCGAGGACATCCCAGAGCAGCGCGCGCGAGCTCACGCGGCAACCACTAGACCACTGGACTCTGAGATGCTGCTACGATTCTCGACGCTACACCGACTCCTGCGAGTCAGCGCATGGTGCCTCCGATGGCCGAGAGCCACTCGCCTGCGTCTGCTTTCTGTTTCAGATACCCCGCTATCACGCTCGGAGCTAGAGAAAGCACAAAAGGCGTGGATGCGACAAACGCAACGCACGTGGTTTGGCACGGAGCTAAAGGCGATCGAAGCCAACCAGCCCATACCGGCCACAGTCCGGTGAAAAAGCTGAGCCCATTCAGAGATGCCGAAGGAATACTGAAAGTTGGCGGTCGCCTGAAACACGCGGTCCTCTGCTTCGACCAGCAACATCCTGCCATCCTGCCAAAGGCGTCTCACCTCATCTCTCTCATCATTAATGCCTGCCATCAAAGGACGCTCCATGGAGGCGTGCAGCTCACATTGAGCCGTTTACGACAACTCTTTTGGGTACCCGGAGGACGAGCGAGCGTCAAGGCGTGCATCCACCGTTGCACCACTTGCGCTCGATGGCGGGCGGCGTCCCCACAACCACTCATGGCAGACCTGCCAGCCAGCAGCACGTGTCACCGCATCAAGGCCGTTCACGCACGTGGGCGTGGATTACGCTGGGCCCGTCCTCCTACGGACTTCAAAAGGACGCGGCCAGAAGGCGAGCAAGGCCTTCCTGGCAATCTTTGCCTCAGCACGAAGGCAACCCACCTTGAAGTTGTGTCGGATTACACCACCGACGCATTTTTGGCAGCATTCCGCCGCCTTGTTTCTCGGCGCGGACTGTGCAGCTGCCTCTACAGCGACAGAGGAACAAATTTCGTTGGCGCCGATGCGCAACTGCGCGCCTTCTTCAAAGCGGCCACCACCAACAACCGCATCAGCAATGTTCTAGCCAACGAAGGGGTTGAATGGCGATTCAACCCCCCTGCTGCCCCTCACTTCGGAGGACTGTGGGAGGCGGCAGTCAAATCCGTGAAACACCACCTCCAAAGAGTCATTGGAGACACCACACTGACGTATGAAGAAATGGCCACCCTGTTAGCACAAGTAGAAGCTACGCTAAATTCCAGGCCACTGCAAGCCTTAAGTGACGACCACGAGGATCTATCCGCCTTAACGCCGGGGCACTTTTTGATTGGCGGCCCACTTAACGCCAACCCGGAGCCGTCACTCACCGAGGTAACGCCGACCAGGCTCTCGCGCTGGCAAACTCTCCAACAAATGCGTGACCATTTTTGGTTACGCTGGTCACAAGAGTATTTGAACACACTGACGACCAGATCCAAGTGGTGGAAGAAGCAGGCCAACCTCAACGTCGGAGACCTGTGCCTCATTCGCAATGAGATCACCCCTCCCAGCAAGTGGCCGCTTGCGCGGATCACAGCCACGCATCCGGGAGCTGATGGACAGACAAGGGTCGTGACTGTCAAGACCGCCACATCCTCCTTCACCAGACCCGTCACAAAACTGGTTCCGCTACCTAGTGTCAACAACGGGATCGGAGCCAGCCAAAATCCCGAAGACGAGAAAAATCACAGCCTCGCTCAGCATTCGTTAACAGTCTAACAAGGCGGGCGGGATGTATGAGAACGCGCCTGATATGGCTGCCACCCGCCACCCAGCACTTCTCGCGAACGCTCACGGAGTACAATATACGCGAGTTTGTTTACGTCAATAAAATTCCTGTCGCCGCCGGATGGCCGCATTTCGCGTTAGAAGAATTATTGTTTAACGAAATAAGAAGCCTGGCCCGTCCGAAAGAAGGCGGAATCCGTTCGCACTATTCTGTGGCTTCACGCTCCCAGTGTCGAGACGCATGAACAAGCTACGCAGAAGGAACTCTCACTCTCCTCCTCCGTCGGCTCGCCCGACGTTGAGGATTTTTGACGTGGAAGCGCGTGACGGCAGTCGCCTCCGATCGGTGGGACTGCGTCCCTTCCACAGGGAAGCCAAAAGCAGCCGCTTCTACCAGCCGCCACGGCCGGAGCCGAAGAAGAGGCCGCCGTGGAAAACCGGCACTCATTAGGACCGAATCACGAGGAACAAAGTGGAGGCTCGAGAAGATCTCGATCCCGGATCGCCGCCAACGCCTGGACTCGCCCAGAGGCAGGACTTGTGCCTCCTGCGGATCCACGCCTCAGCCGGCCCATCTCCGCCCTCGAGAGCCGCACAGCGAGTATCGGTGGCCACCCAAACGTCGTGGCCCCCCCCCGATCGCGACGTACACTGGGTACGCAGACCCTCTTCCAACTAAGCTTCACGCGTGAAGATTAGTCTAAACGCAAGAATATATAAGCTTAAATTTATATATGTTATTCTTGTCTCAAGATTATTAAGTCAATCTTATTTTATTCGAGAGAAGAGAATAGGAATTATTGATTTAATCTCAATATTGTTTTATTTTTATACTACTTCAGATTCTGATGAGATTAAACATGTCAAGAATACTTTTTGTCTCGTTATTAGAAATCTTTTCTGAGGGTGTATGTAACCTAAAAGTTAATTATTTTAATGAAATTGAGCATTCAGTGGTTTGTTATTAAAAATAGAGTTAGAGGAAATATCTCCGTCTTATTGTCATGCTATTGAGTATTGACTCCTATTGTTCCGCTTTCCTTTAATTGTTTTGACTAATATGAGAAAGACTATAAAGCACCATTGTTTATTTCGTAATATAGTTGCATTAAGCCCTAAGCCCTAAATTATGCAAGAATTTTTTTTATACAAAAACTAATTGAGGTGCTATGATATACGTCCAAAAAACGGAAATTTTTAGGTATGATAATATTTTTCCCATTAATTAACTTATAAAACCTATTGATTCTTCATGTGCTATTATATTAAATTGTGTCTAGTACATCCACTTTTTTACACGTTATTTAGAATTTTTTTAAATAAAAGTGTTAAATATCTTTTGTTAGCATTCTGCTTTTCTCTCTTTG